AAAGAATGAGAGAAACATGGAGGCACATGTCTGATGTTGAATACTGGAAAGACCAGGAGTACTCTAAGTATGTCTGGAAGGACACAATTAGCTCAGGGTACAGGATATACACAGACCTGAGAATGTCCTAGAGTGTGCCAGGAGGGCTGACAATTGCTCTCAGCACCTCCACTTGTGTGTGCTGATCAGTGGCTTATCTTCTAAAAGATAAAGAGGCTGTAGCAATTTCAGGGAGGCTACCATCAATATCTGGTCCCCGTGTAGGTGTTTTTCACAGAGATGTCTGGTGACCTTAAAAAAAAAATCCTACAAACCGACTGCTCATTACTATACAGCGCCACAGTTGCTGCTGGAGAAAATGTTTTACTGCTTGTTTTTGTCTTCCAAATAGTTTGGGAAGAAATCTGGTTGTCACACTGTCTAGGGACTGTAGAGAGACAGCATTCTAGTATCCATAGACAGCACACAGTACAACTCTGTGTTTGGGGGATGCTGTAAAATGCAATCTGGTGCACTGAGGTAGAAATGTCAGAGAGCAGAGACAGCCCCCCAAGAGATGTTAGGCTTTGAAGATGACCTGCCCCCCACAACAGGCGAATATGCATCAACACTTGGTCTCCAGTAGGTGGCGCTATTTTGGGAGGGCACAGAACCTGTAGGAAGGGGGTCTTAGCCTGAGGAAATGGGTCACTGGGGATGGACCTTTAAGTAAGTCTATGGTCTCATCCCTCATTTGGACTGCTTCTCTTCTTGTACTATTGAGATCTGAGGAGGTAAGGAGTCACAGCTACAGGCTCCTGCCACCTCTCCCGCTTGGTGGGCTGCATCTGTCAAAACTGGGAGGAGCCATAATGTACCTTTCCTCCCTCAAGCCACTTTTTGTCAGGTATTTGGGCACAATGGCTAGAAAAGTCACAGTCAAGGGCATCCTGGAAGTGTGAAGCTGATCTCAGTTTTTATGAAGTCTTGGGGTTAGTCAGAGAACATGGCTTGGCTTGTGCAGGGCCTTGGGTGCCATCTCCAGCACAGCAAAACCAAACTGACCAACTGCAAGTCTGCGACCTGACATAGGGCTTGGTATCCAGGCAGTGATTATATTCACACACACACACACACACACACACACACACACACACACACCCTTTCTCGCACCTGTAGCACTGACTATGCCTTTTTGGGCATGGTCACAGGTGAAGATGGTACCAGTAAAAGGAATAGGAGGGGACTTGGAGTCCCCTTCAGGTTGTGGAGAGCATCAGGGTGGCAGGGTCTGCATCCTTGGAGCCGGAGCCCACAATAGTCGCTTGTTTCCTGTGTAACTTACTTTTCCCCAAATAAACTCCACTTCATTCTATACTGACTCTAGTGAATCCTGATTTCCAAGCCTATAGAGAACTGCAAATACAGTCATGTGGAGGCAAGTATGGGGTTTCTCAGAGATACCTCCAACTTCAGCAGGGGGTTGCTGGTTGCAAACATCTAGATATTTGGACTCGGGGTAAAAAAAATAACGGAGAGGCACTTGACTCCACCAGAATGCTGAGGGAACAGTTCCAGGACTCTCATCACAGATTGGCATGTGAGCCCTATGGCTTCTGGGGAGTAAATTCCACTGTGGTGCCATTAGCTGGGAACATGATTAAACAGGATCTAGTTCTTAGGGGAAGATAGGAGCTTGTTTGGACTTGTGCAGTTCCAGTGTTTATAGGTTACTCAAGGGACCTGATATATCAGTGGCTTGATCAGATGCTCAGGGAGGCATCGTGAACCTCAACTTCATATCTGGTTGTCTCTGACATATCCAGGAGATGGCTCTCACCCCAAACACAGGTTACATCAGCTAGAAGGGCATGTGTGAGGCCCAGTCTGACCTGGAGTTCAGTGTGGTAGCCAGGGAAGGGCAACTGTGACACTCACGGAGTAACATGGCTTGACAATGAGGCTACTCCACTCTCCAGTATTTTGGGAGTGTTACCAGGATCTTCCTCACTCTACAGGGCTTGCTAAATATAGTCATATTCCAGATAACCCTGGCTTAGGGTCATATCATGTTTTATAAATGGGGGAACTGAAGCTCAGGGAATTTTAGATTACGTATCCAGTAAACAGCCAGGACAGAAGTAGCTTCCTCCTTTTTTCCTGTTCTCTCTGCCATTACTTTTTTTTTTCTCAAAATGGCCTCTCTATATGGCTCAGGATGGCCTTGATCTTAGTGTCTTTTTTGTCTTAGCCTTCTGAGTGTCTGGGTCACAGGCTTCCCTTTTCTTCCTAAATTATGTGATAACCTTCTTGTCCCAAAGCCAGACTTTCAGGATTTTTTTTAGTTGCTTTGAAAAATAGTGACAGTATTGATTGATTCTCAGAAATGGAAGGTAAGGACCCATTACTGAAGACATACCACACACTTTGGGCAGGACAATTGATCTGCAAGTGACCTGGAAGCATCCTCCTGAAGACTAGCTTGCACAGTAGCAGAAGGAGCCATATAAGCTTCCAAGAAAGAAAAAGTGATCAATTGTTCTACACAACTCTAATGCCTATAAACTATGATGATGGGAGATGTTCTTCTGTATATATGTTTATCTTATTGGTTGATGAATAAAACACTATTTAGCCAATAGAGGCATGAAGATAGGTGGGAATAGGAGATGAGGAGAATTCTGGGAAAGATAGGCAGGGAGAGGCCACAAAGGTATGCCATATAGCCAACAAAGGAGTAACAGGTCCAGGCATTCTCCAGTAAGCCAAGACCACGTGGAAATACATAGATTAGTAGAAATGGGTTAATAAGACAGAGCTAGCCAATAAGAAGCCTTAGCCACTGGCCAACAATTTTATAGTCTTGTTGTGCTTATTTGGGGCTGAAGTGGAGATGGGACCTGGTGGGACAAGAAAACACCAGCAATACCACGGACAATGACCAGATAACATAAAAGGTGTACTAGAGGCCCATCTATCCCAGGTGTAACCAACAGCTGTCTAATTGTATTTAAAGTCCACTTGGTAGAGGGGAATTCATGCTTGGTATTGTAAACCTAATCCACTAACCGTGGCTGGCGGCATTATGACCTCAGAGGAATATCAACTACTGCTACATCTGTAAGTTAGTATAACTTCTAACTCTATGCTAAATATTGATCCTTATGTCTACAGAGACACATAGCTCCCACTATCCATCAAAGATCTTTCCTCTTCTTCCAGCAGATGGAGAAAGTCATGACTGGTCAAAATACAGAGAAAAATTGACCCTGACCGTGAGGTACTCAGCACCAATTGACACATCTACAACACAACCTCTACATCTAAGGCTCAGGGAACTTAATGGAACATAGGACAGAAAGATTGTAAGAGCCCAAGGAGCAGGATGGCTACCTGGAGTTAGTGTCTTCTACATATTTCAGGGAAGCTGCACCCATGAAATCTCAACAATATGGCTACCTAAACAAGGCTACAAAAATGACTCAACCAATTGACATGCCAATGGGGTTGGAGGAAATGCCTAGATGAAGAGATAGATAACTAATTGGTGTTGAGAGAGGAGGGACAATCAGGATTTTCCAAGGTTGAGGCTCTCGATGGATTATCCAATCCCAATTCCATGTGGTCAGCACCAAACACACGTACATATGAGTAACACTAAATGAACTCAGTAGATTGTATTTATTAATTTGTATGTGAATATGTACATATCAATAGTAGATAACAAGAGATCATGAGTTTGAGAAGGAACTGAGGGACATGGGAGGAGTTGGAGGGAAGAAGAGGGTGGAAACGATGCAAATACAGAACTCATATATGAAATTCCAAAGAATACATTTTAAAAAAGAATAAAAATAGTGGCAATAACACAGAAATTGTTTCATACAGGCATCTGGAGTAATATTGATGTTCGGAGGGTGCAGATTGGATGTGCCAATAGCCTATATTAGCAATAGTGGGAATCATGTATTTAACATAATTGGAAATGTGTTTTCTCTCATGGAAGTGGGAAATAATGAGAATTTTCATAGTGGAATCTTCATGTGAAGAGATGCATATAGACTTCTTGGGCTCTCTTGGTTTCTAAGTCACTACCATGGCAAGTTGCAAGTGAAGGTGACAGTTATGCAAGGAGTCGGAGGGTCTCAGAACCTGGATCTGCCTTTCTCTTTATCGCCTATCTCACTGATGTAGCCTCCCAGAAGTTGTTCTTGCAGCTTGAATAAAACACTCAATGTCTTTGGGATGTCTGCCCATAGATAGAATCTTAGAGCTAGGGAAAGCTTAACCTTTTAGAGTGTCAGGAAGTCAGCCACAAGCTTCACTCAGTCTGTCTTCCATGTCTGGGGCTGATATTAGAAGCAATATACAGCAGCTATAACTGTCATTCATTCCATATGAGGACACAGGACATGTGTTACTGAATTTGGCTTCCCACTTGCCAGGGGTGTGCTAAGGGAAAGTAGAGGTAACATCAGCATCTTCCTTGGGACAGGCTCAGGTCTTTCTGCATGCTTCATTTGGTCTTGTTTCAAGAATGGTATGAATGACCTATGCTTTAGATATTCTTTAGTTAAGGAACCCAAGACAGGAGGTGGGGAAATGGCCAGCTCAAGCCTGCTCTCACAACTTGCTATAAACTCTGAATAGGTTGTCCATGCCTGGGCTCCTTCTGGATCCATGTGTGGCATGGTGTTCTCTTGAGGCTTCTGTTTATGTCAGGCCTGTGCTTCCTAATAGGTTGTAAGCATGGGGCAGTGGGCAGTGGCTCCCAAAGCCTGTTCTTTCCCAAGCTGCATTTGCCCTTCCATCATTTGTCTCCTTGTGAAAAACTTCTCCATCTTCAGAGGTCTATTTCCATGTCTATTTTGCACAACCCGATTTCTAAAGTTCCCCAGTTTGCAAAGAGCTCTTCACCTTCTCTCTCATTGTATTTTTAGTCCACGTATTTGTCCATTTATTCATTTTTTGTTACATGTATCTGGTATTTCATTGGCTAAATACTTTTTGGTTCCTGTTAGGTGCTAAGTCCTGAGAATATGGAATGAAGAGTTACTGCCATGGCCTTTGACAGCATTGTGTAGTTGGGAAGGCCCATCTCACACAGAGAATGACACAGGAATGGTAAGTGCTATAATAAAATGTATGAGCCTTACAACATTAATTTTGCTAGAGTTGAGGGGAAGGGTCAGTGATGGAGGTTAGAGATTTGGAGGCAAAGCTTCAAATAATGTCGAAATGTAAAAAAAAAAAGGAACTTATGGACCCATTCCAGGTAGCCCCGAAGGACATTTTTTTTTTCTTCAGACAAAGTGTGGACTCCAGAATTCACAATGAGCTCAAAGTTTCTTCTCTGTATAGCTGCTGAAAGGGAGAGGGAGAGAGGGAAGAAGGGAGGGACGGAGGGAGGGAGGGAGAGAGAGAATGCAAACAACTTCCAATGTCCAACCAAAAGGCAGCTACAGAAGCCATAGAGGGAGACTGAAGAGCAGTTGGACCAGCTTTATATCCTACCTCTCTAGAGTCACTGTTCACAGGAGGCAGGATCAAGTCCCCAGCCCTGTGTGGAACCAGGGCCTCCTTATCCACAGTTTCAGCCTGACAGGCCTGGAAATATTAGATGAAAAATCCTACGTTTTAGATGCTGTAATGCAATATGCTGTTACACTTATCCTATTCCTGTTCATGCCATTTCATATGAGGGATGTGTCCTGGTAAAGTTCAGTATTTGTGGAGGGTTCTAGAACCAATCCCCCTAACCAATAGCTCTAGCCTCTATCACCAACTCTTTCCCTCAACTCCAGCAGAATTAATGCTATGGCTCCTGGGGCACTACTATTTATGCAGAGTTCAGTATTAGCCTTCATGCCAGCATCCACTGGGGATCTTGGAGTGTGTTTCTCATAGACACACAGGATTTTGTCTTCCCATCACATGCCCAGTCTTACAGGTCTTGCTTCTAGAACCCATATGTGCCACAGCTGGGGACTGATACCAGATAACTGATACCTGATCTCTAAGAGCTCTGGGTACCAGGACTTTAAATCTAGGCACCTGCAGGGGTCTTACTATAGGGGTCATACCTGTTCTTCTGCCTTGTTTGATCCAGGATCAAGGCAATATGACCTCACTGTCTCTACCTTGTGTCTTCCCCAATTTCTGGACATCTGTCCTCACACCACCCTTTCCTCCTAGCATGATGTCTCTACTCCACTGATCCTCTGGATTAGGACCCATCACAATGACATCTTAGCTGATAACTTCTACAAAGGACCCCATTTCCAAATGAGGTCATGTTTATGGGCACTGGCAATTAGGATGACAACACATCCTTTTGGGGAACACAGTTAAACCCCTAATGTCTATTCCAATTTCAGGGAGGACAGGGGCCAGACTGAGAGGGTATCCCTCAGTGACCCACAGACATGTAGCCAGGACGTACTGTGGATGTTCTAGATTCAGTGTCATTGTGGTCACAGGAAGAAGGGAGAGGGACTGGGGATGGGAATAGGGAGAGAGGGAGAGAATGAGAGAAAGAAGGAAGAAGGAAGGAGACTGAGATCTCATGGTTTATATTTAGAAATAATTCTGACCATAATCCCATGAGGTGAAGGTCAACGTGAAACCAGCCAGTTAGATGTTGTCCTAATAGGATGAATGACCTGACCTTGAACTATTCCTAGAATGAGGTGGGACCATCAGTCTCCTGGGTCCAGTACTAGATGGAATCAAAGAAGACCTTGGAAAATATGATTCTCGTGCTGTCAAGGACACACCCCGAAGCTCATACATTCAAACCTATGAGTGAAAATTTAAAAAATGTAACTAGGAAGTAGAGCCTGGGTTTTTCTACTGAGAAAAACCTGTCTACCCTGGGTAATGACTGCCCTTTTAAAAGTCTCTTTGTCCAGGTGATAGAGTCTGAGAAGTCCTCACACATATGCAGTCTTATTTCCAGTAAAGCCTAGGCTCATTAAAACGCAGGCCCCCTGCGCTGTGTAGCAACAAGAGCTGTTAGCAGTGAATTTGGCTGGAATTGACAGGAGCCCTGGGGGAGGGAGGCTTACTGATGGAGGGGGAGGGGACCGAGGCCCACAGCCGCATCAGTACTGCCATCAACATTGACTTCGTAATTTTGTTCAGAGAGGTCCCTGAATATCTCCAAATCCCCTTCAAAACAACCAAGGGTAATGTCTGGGTCTGTGGATTACAGAAATCCTGAAATAATTAGCTCACTTAGCAGGGCTTGTCCAAGCACCTGCTGCTGTATGCAGGCCTCGTGGAGGAGGGGTGGCTCAGGGGACAGGAGAGACCCACAGCAATTTCAGGCTCCTTGTAGTGACATACAGGCAGCTGGTCAGGCTTCTGTGATGCTACACTGGGGGCTGAGGGGCACCCCAGAGAGAAATGGGGCCATGGCCTCACAGTGAGGAATGGAGGGGGAAGGACAGGCATCAGAATAACCCAGAACATGCTTCCTACATGAAGCTTTATGGTGTATTCAGGTTATACTGGGGATGCAGTATCTTACCAGGAGCAAGTGTGCCTAGGGCAATGACACAGATCCTGTGTGCACGCACATGGTTCTCCCAGGTGGCTGCCAGCATAAAGACCCCTGTTAGGGCCTGTCCTGAAAACGGAAAGTTTCCCAACTTCCATGTACATCTGTTTCCTAAAGAATGAATGCAGGTTACAAGGGAGCTCTAGGGATTGAGTATTTTAGGGACATCTGAGACATTTTAGGAGTATCCCAGTAGGGCAGGAATACCCAGCAGAGCAGGGACACCCAGTAGGACAGAGACACCCAGCTGGAGCCAGGGCCCTCATATACTGACCTGTGTGGGGACCCCAGAGGCCTCCTCACCTCTGAAGGAAGGAGGCCTGGACCCCAGTCCTCCCTAGCACTGGCAGCAGGGTTCTGGCTCAATTTTCCCTTTAGGGTGCTCTTTTATATGTCATTTATTTATATTTTTATTAGCATACATTAAGTATATGACAATAGGTTTCATTACATTTTCATACATGTATATACTTTGATCATATCACCCTATTACCTTCTCTTGTCTCCTCAGTCTTGAGATCCCTTTCCTCTTCCTAGATATTCTCCCTCCTACTCATCCCACAGTGCATGTGTCCATGTGTGTACCTGTGTGCGTACAGGCATGTGAGTGTGCATGTGTGAATGTGCATGTGTGTATGTACATGTATGTGTGTGTGCATGCATGTGTCGGTATAGGCATGTGTGCATGTGTGCTTGCAGATGTGTGAGTGTATTCATGTGTGCATCTGTGCAATGTGTGTGTGTGTGTAATCAAGCATGCTCATGTGTATGTACCAGAACTTAACAACAGTTACTTAGGGAGGTCTGAGTACCTCAGTCTAACTACACTGAAGAAAATGTCTCTTTGTCTCCAGCAGCCATCAACTGTTGAGGATGCCCTATACTCACCAATAGCAGCAGCCTTTCTGTTCACCCTTAGAACACTGTGGTTTAGGAGACAAATGCTCAGTGGATACAAGGCCAGTGGGAAAAGGGGCTGCGATGCCCATGGGCATGACTCTCAGAAAGCCAGAGCAGACTGGGTGGGGGTGGGGCAAAGATAAAGAGAAGGGGAAGGAGACAAAGATGAAGGCAAGTACAGAGTGATGGGGGAGGGCAAGAATAAGACAAAACAATAACATGGGTGTGGTAGGGACAGCTCTGAGATGCCCTTCAGGCCTGCAGGCTTCTTGTTAGCCAATGGTGTTACAAAGAGAGTAGGGTGGAGCAGAGGGAGACCACATCTGTGCTTTCCATGAGTTTTGCCTTTGCAGTAAGGGCAGTAGTACTGGGTCTAGGTCTGGTGACCATGATCGTGGTGGCCCAGGTATTCACATTTGTAGCTGCAGGTGTGAGTACCATAGGTCTTTGCTAGTGTCTGACCTAGACAGTACGAGGAGAAGGACAGGTGCTCCTACTTAGTAGCTGAAAGTTGGTGACCTCCTTAGGTCCTAGCTATCTGGTACCCCTTCCTCTCCATAGTTCCCTCCTCCTAGGAACCATTCCAGTTGCCATCTCCACAGCCCTCTACCCTGCAATCTATCTGAGCCTTTCTGTGCCTCACCTCCAGGCTCAGACTCAGACTCAGACTTGGTGATTTTTCTTTCTGTAATCAGCTTTTGTATCAGTTAATTGACACTCCCAAGCTTGTCTTCCTCCTGGGATTTGTGGCCCTGAGCCAAGGACCACAGGACAGGGACAGGAGATAAGGCCTGCAGAGTTCAGCAGCAGGCTAAGGGGTAGATGCATTTCAGGGTGGTTTACAATTTCCAAACATTCAGCAGCAGCCAGTCACAGCCAGTTCCTCTAGTCAGTATGTGATGGACATGATGGATGTGCACACATATTTGTGTTTTACATGATTGCAGTATGCAGTACTGAATTAATACGCAGTATGTGCCATGTCTATGTGTTTGTATATCTCCATGTGTTTTACATGTGCATGTATGTGCATGTAGCTATGTATATATGGCCTGTATATGTGTTGTGAGTGTGTACATGTGTATGTGTGTGTTATAGTCCTAGCTATCTGGTACCCCTTCCTCTCCATAGTTCCCTCCTCCTAGGAACCATTCTAGTTGCCATCTCCACAGCCCTCTACCCTGCAATCTATCTGAACCTTTCTGTGCCTCACCTCCAGGCTCAGACTCAGACTCAGACTTGGTGATTTTTCTTTCTGTAATCAGCTTTTGTATCAGTTAATTGACACTCCCAATTGATATCTGGTATTAATGGGTGATATGCTATGATGTTGTGTGTACGCTTTTCGGTATGTAATGTGTGTAATATAGCCTATGTACACATGTATGTGTATGACTATGGGTTGTTCACATGTGCCTAGTATGAGATACATGACATACATATATGTACATATTTGGGTATTATATGCATGCCTCTGTGATGTGTTGTGTGCTTATATGTGGTATACAAAGGTGCATGTGGCATGCATGTGTTTTATACATGTATACACATATAGTACTAAATATAATACATATGCATGCATGAGTGTGCACTATACATGTGTGAGTGTATGTTTGTGCATACATGATATACAGATATGTCATATATGTACATGCTTGCATGA